GGTATCAACCATGATTCTTTTTTGTAATCTGGTCAGTTAATAAAACAGTGACTGCTTTCAAATTGAAAAAAAAAAGTAAACATCTTTTTGGTACTCTCTGCTTTTAGCCAAGATCCATCTGACATTGTCTAGTGCCACGCCCTCTTCTAAACTCAGTTTGTATTTCTGTAGATGTACTGCTCTTAGTTTTTGGAGAATCTTCAGCAAGATTTTGCTTGCATGTGATCTTAGTGGTTTTGTTTTATAATCTCCACACTCTGATGAATCAGCTCTTTTGGAAATGGCAATAAATATGCCTCTCTTCCAGTCAGTTGATCATGTAGCTATCCTCTTGATTCTTGGCACAACCTGGCTGCACATTCAGGGCTGCATCTGTTTGTTAAAATATGTCAATTATTCCATACATTGCTGGGGCTTTAATTTTTTGCCAAGTCCTTCAGAGCAGCTTTAACTTCCTTCTTTATTACCATTGATTCTTGATCATATACTACTTCATGAAATTGTTCTGTGTCAGTCAATTCTTTTTCGTGCAGTAACTGTGTACTACCTTCTTTTGATGTTTCCTGATCATTCAATGTTCTGCTCATAGCATCCTTATGTATTACAACTCAAGGCTTAAATTTGTTCTTCAGTTCCTTCAGCTTAAGAAATGCCAAGCGAGTTTATCCCTTTTGATTTTCTGACTCCAGTTTCTTGCACAATTTATTGTAATACTTTGCTTTATTTTTCAGAGCTGCCCTTTGAAATCTTCTGTTTAACTTGTCAACTTCCTGATTTCTTCTTTTTGTTTTGGCTTCTTAGTGTTCTAGGACAATATTCAGAGCCTCTTCTGACGTCCATTTCAGTCTTTTCTTCCTCCTCCATCTTTGTAATGACCATTTACATTCTTCATGGATGATATTCTTGATATCATCCCACAGCTCATCTGGTTCTCATTCATTAGTGTTCAAGGCCTTTCATATCTGTTCTTGAGATGGTTTTTAAATTCAGGTGGGATAGACTCAAGGTCATATTTTGTATATGATGGATTTAATTTTCTTTAGCTTCAATTTGAACTTGCACAGAGTAGTTGATGGTCTGTTCCACAATCAACACCTGGTCTAGTTTTCACAGCTGATATTGAACCTCTCCAATAATTCTCCCAAAGTTGTAATCAATCTGATTCCTGTGTAGCCCCATCAGATGAGGCACATGTGTATAATTGTCATTTGTTTTTTCATATGCTTTAGAGGCCAAGAGTGGCAGCTCTCAGATGCAAGGCACTGTGAGGCCCACAGCACCATCATTGCTGGGAAGCAGAGGGATAATGAGTGGATAGGCATGAATGGAGGCCCTAGCCATCATATTAGGGCTTCGTTCAGGCCTAACCTAGCAGCCATTCGCCCTGGAAAGGTGGGGGAGGGGTGAGAAATGCCAAAAGGCGGAGGGAAACCAATGCTGTCAGCTTTTATATTGGGGAATTGTCTTTACATGTTTGAGTGTTTTTGCATGTTGATGCTATTAATAGCTTAGATACGTTTATGTTAGTTTATCTAATATCTGCTCTTTTGGGTTGCAGTGCAGCTTCTTGCCACACTAATATCTGCTCTTTTGGGTAAAATATTCATCTGTCAGATAGTGGACTAAAGCTGAGCTTTCAAATTCAGATACACTAGGAAGAAGGCTTGGCCATTCACTTCTGAAATAATAGGCTTTCAAAAGCCCCATAAACAATAAAACACACTTAAATTACTCGATATAGCACTGGAGGCTGAGCCCTCATATTGGGAAACACAAAATAAAGAGGAATAGTTGTAAACAGCCACTAATAATTGGAACGTGGAATGTATGAGGTATGAATGTAGGAAAGTCGGACATTGTTAAAAAAGAAATGGAACGCTTAAGTATTAATGATGAGCTGAGATGGCATGGACCATTCTAATCAGACAATCATATATGATCTACTATGCTGAGAATGGAAAAGAGTAAAAAAGGACCATTTATAAATCCATCCTGGAATACCATGTTGTGAGTCACAGGAGCATATCCATGTGAATATAAGGAACACTTGTTGATACCACTATCATTCAAATAAATGCACCAGCAACTAGAGCCAAAGAGGAGGAAATAGAAGATTTCTACCAGCTTTCACAGTCTGAAATTGATCGAACATACAACCAATATTCATTGATAATAGTTGGTAACTGGAATGCAAAAATGGAGAACAAGGAAGGATCAGCAGTTGGAAAATATGGACTTTGTGACAGGAATGAGGCAGGAAAAGAGAATGGTAGAATTCTGTCCAACACTCCTGGGATTCTTAAGAAATCCTGTTGCCTGGCTAAAAAGGTCTAAGGAATTTGTTTTTTCTTAGAAGACTTTTATCAGCTAAGCAGATTTGTGAGATTCTGAATTAAAATTCTTCAGAAACCTTAACAAAGGAACCTTCAAACTGCAGTTGATCAGACATAGTATCTGTTATATTCTGAATTTGACCTTGGCCCTAAGGTCATTTCTTGCTTTGAATGTTTTGCCTGTAAAAACAATCCTTGACTCTCTATCAAGCCTGAATCCATTGCCATGGTTTGACCCTCTATAATAAAAAACAAAACCTCTGACTTATGGTGACCTTTTATGTTACGGAGAAGACCTTGTCTCTCAGGTAACAGAAGCAGATTACCAGCTCTTTGAGTACCACTGGGTTGGTTTGAATGACTAATCTTTAGCCTAACAGTCAAATGCAAACTGCATTGTCCAGCAACTCTGATATTCTAGAACAAAAAAAATCCCAAACCTACTGCCATTGAGTAAATTTTGACTCTTGGGGAACCTCCATTGAGTTTTTGAAGCAATAAATCTCTACAGGAGGAAATTTTCTTTCTTTCATAGAAATTTTCTAGGAAACTTTCAGGGGAAAAGTTCCCCCCTTTTTTTGGAAACAGTTAATTCAAACTGCTTACCTTTTGGTTAGTAGTCCAGCACATAATGTGTCATGCCGTCTATTTCCCTCTCTTGTTTTTTGTAGTTTATCATAGGCAGAGAGAAGATAGTTGATATTTTCAGCATTCTACCTGGAAATCTTTTTAGTCAAATCCACATGTTTGTTAGCTGCCATTTGGATTTTTTGCATCACTATAGGCAAATATTGCCAAACTTTCTAACATGACAAAATGTAGACGGCCTTTTGTATCTCATCGGACAATGATGATGTCCTCACAGCTGGGTTGTTTCCTGGGGATACTCAGATCTACCTGATGCCGGGATCCAAAGCCAATGTTTTGGTCCCCCCTCCCCCCTTCAGCAGCTCCTTGCTTCTAGGTACCAACTTATCTTTCAAGGATCTGTTGCTACATTAAATGTATTCCAAAGCTTTTGGTTGTTGTTAGATGCTGTCAAGTTGCCTACAACTCACAGTGACCTTACGAACAACAGATCTGAACCTTGCTCTATCCTGTACCATCTTCAGGATCTCGGAGAAGCCCAAGTTCATTGTTATAGTCACTTTGTCAATCTGCCTTTTGAGAGCCTTCCGCTCTTCCTTGAACCTTCCACCTTTTCCAGCAGATGTCCTTTTCTGAGGACTGGTTACACTGCAGTCACATGCCCAAAGTATGTGAAATCAAGTTTCTAAGGGGCGCCCTGCCTGCACCTCCTCCAAGAAAGAATGGTTTATTTTTTGGCAGTCAATGGGATATTCAGTACTCTTCCAACATCACAACTCAAAGGCATAAAATTGTTCTGCCATTATTATTCATTGTCCAACTTTCAAATGCATAGGAAGCAATTGGAAATACCATGGCTTGAATCAGGCACACCTTAGTGTTCAAACTGACATCCTTTATCTTTAGAAATGGAAGGTGTTTGAAGCTGAGGTGTCTGAGGGAAGAGTGTGAGCCAGGTCTGCCTGAAAGGAGCCGGAAGACTGACCCAGGGAGTTAAAAAGGTAGGAGGGTCCTAGACTCAGGAATAGGGAATTGATCAGAGATCAGATGAAGAGGAGCAGTGCGAAATGAACTTGGATGTGGAGTCTAGAAGATTCTGGGAGATGAGAGATTCTGGGAGGGAATGAAGGTTCTGGAGTCCTGCAAAGAGAGCTTGATGAAGTGGACTGAAAAGATGAGAGCTTGGACAAAGGGTGTTGGAATTGCAGGTATGAAGTATCTGGGGTTGAAGACTGTGAGTAGCCAAAGTAAAAGAGAGTAGACTGGGTCATCCTGCACTTCCACAGGAGGACCTTCTCAGAAGGGTAGTATGGGAATGAGATGGGGTGGGTCCAGACTGACATAGGGTGGCTGCTGTCACTAGGAGTGTTTGCTGCCACATATGTGGAGATGGATAAGGGCAGAGAGTTTATCAAGCAAAGAAAGTGCTTGTTCTGTGTGTTTGCTGGGGTGAAAACCATATACAAAGACATACACTCAACTCTCTAGGGGATTTGATGGGTTCCCTCTAGTTCCCTTCAGAACCAGTTATCAGAACAATGATGTCCCAAATTACCGCAGACTGACAGATGTGACTGAAAGTGCTGTGAGCAGAGTCAGGACTGCCAGAGCAGGAGAAAATGACTCTCTCTGGGGATTGGCTCTAAAGGTGTCCAGGCTGAGGACAGAATGACTCCAGTCCTCAGGCCAGTAAGGTGGCTGAAGTCTTGCTCATCAGTTGGTGGACATGACTCAAGAAAGCAAAACACTGTAGCCCAGGAAGCAGGTTACCCAGTTTATTGGGAAAATGAAAGACAAAAGGCCAGAGATGCAATCTGGCAGGGGTCCTTCCCTGGGGAAAAAGCCTTCTCCTTTGGAGGGTCCAGAGGCCAAGGAGGGGGTAGGGATGGGTCCATTTCTAGGCTGCAAGGCCCTTTCCGGACGGAGAAGATGACAGGAATATCATTTGGGAATGAGCTAGGTGGCGTGTTCTCAGAACACGAGGGGGAAAGCTACCGATGTGCCACTGTTCTCAGCTGGAATAGGGCAGTGACACATCTAGCGGGCAGAAGGGGCTTCCCTGGCTCTGTCTTGGGGTGCCTAACACCTTCCCAGTCCACAGGAGCCCCCTCCGCAGGTGGTGTTGAGCTGACCGCAGGGCGCACACATCCCAGTGCTCACGGCCAAGTTCCCGGTGCAGGGGGCGCTGCAGACACTGCCCGTCACAGGCCGGGAACCAGACACGCAGAGGTCCCCGCAGACAACTCCGCCCCGGGAGCTGCTCACACCTGCAGGGACAACAGCAGCATCAGCAGACCTGCCTGGGGACTTCATGGCACTCAACTTCTTTTGGTTTTACAGGGAAAGACTCCAGAACCTTCAGGTCTAATTCTGCGGGCACAGAGAGAATCCTACCCAGGAGTTAGGAGACAAGGCTCTGTCTTATGACTTCTGGTAAGCCCCTTCCCTTCTCTGGACCTCAGTTTTCTCAACCATATGAACTAAGGGGGGGGGGGAGGGTTTGCACTGAGTGACACTTGAGGTTCCCTCCTGCAGTTACAAATTATTGCTCTTTCTCTTCTCCCTTGCTCATTCATGTTGTGTTTCTTTCAGCAAATCAACTTCGTCTCTCCTGTGTGTGCCAAACCTACTCTCACCACTAGGGGGATTACTGGAAATACTTCTCCCAGGTGTCTGTACACTCACAACCAGAGTCTTTGTTGCTGCCTAAGATTTTCCGTTTCAGGGCTTAAGATACTCACAGACATTCACAGCTCCAACGCCTTCACACAGCCTGAGTAGGGAAAAGGCAAGGATAGAGAGGAGAAAACAGGTCAGAATGAGAACTTTTATTTCCTTTAGATGCTGAAAGGGATCATCTCAGGGTTATTTTGGAAATATTTTAAGACTTTGTGCAATTCACAAAAAGGTCGTTTTCTAGCATTTGTAGTCATGCATGGTGTAGCCTGGATTTTACTTCTCACTCAGTTTGGCTGCCTTTCAGCAGTGTACAGCTTGAACACCCACACTTGGCTGACCTTACACAAGTAGAGGCTCAGCTTTGTTGTCGTTATGTGTCATCGAGTCACTTGTGAGTCATAGAGACCCTATATACATAATAACTCTGAACCCTACTCTATCTTGAGCCGATTTCATTGTCTCCAACACACCTATCCCCATTACCCCAGTCACTGTATCAAACCATCTCATCCAGGGTCTTCCTCTCTTGTACTGCCTTTCAACACTTCTAAGCATGATGTTCTTATCCAAGGACTGGTCCCTCCTGGCAACATGCTCAAAGTATATCAGATGGAGCTTTAAAACCACTGCCTCCGGGGAGCAGCCTGGTTTCACCCTCTCAAGGACAGATCTGTTTGTTATCTTAGCAGCCCATGGTATGTTCAGTTTTCGGGAGAAGAATATTCTTTGGAACAGTCACATAAGGCTGGGGTCAGAGTTTAGCCAATAACTTAATCCTAGAATAGGAAAGTTTCTTAGAAACCAGGCAAGGAGTGGGTCTTGGAAAAAGTGAGGATGTTCCAAACTGTGAGATAGATATCTAGGTTCCAGTGCTGGCAGGACCCAGGGTCCTCCGAGATGCTAGATATCACAGTGAAACAATTCTTGGTTTTTCCTCCAGGGGTTGAGGGGAATATGTCTGAGATCTCCTATCTTAGAGCTAGTTCCTGGGGCCAACTCTATGATAAGCAGGAATCAAAGATGAGTGGGTTTAAGCAAGTGGAGTTCTTAGATGGCTAGTTGACCCTCACCTGTGCTCCTCGCCCTCCAGCAGGCGCCTGTAGGTGGCGATCTCGATGTCCAGGCCCAGCTTGGAGTTCATCACCTCCTGGTACTCCTTGAGCAGGCAGGCCATGTCCTGCTTGGCCTTCTGCAGGGCCTC